TTCACTCCAGTCAGAATGGCAATTATCAAGAATACAAGCAACAATAAATGTTGGTGAGGATGTGGTGGGTGGGGAGGAACATTCATACATGGCTGGAGGGACAGTAAATTGGTAAAACCATTATGGAAAGTGTTATGGAAATTTCTCAGAAAACTTGGAATGGAACCACCATTTGATCCACTCCTTGGTTTATACCTAAAGCACTTAAAATCAGCATACTAGAGACTTAGCCACATCAATGTTTATAGTAGCTCAATTCACAATAGCTAAACTATGAAACCAACCTAGTTGACCTTCAATAGATGAATGGGGAAAAAATGTAGTATATATACACAATAGAATATTACTCAATCTTAAAGAATGAAATTATGGTATTTGCCAGTAAATGGATGAAGCTAAAGAATATCATGCTAAGTGAAATAAATCAATCTCAAAAAAACAAAGGCCAAATGTTTTCTCTGACATGCAGAGGCTAACTCACAATGGGAGTGGGGGCTAGGGAAGAATAGAGGTACTTTGGATTAGATGGAGGGAAATGGGCATGGGGATAGGTAGGATAGTAGAATGAATCAGAGAGTATTATCCTATGTGCATATATGTCTACACAAACAGTGTGATTCCACATCATGTACAACCAGAAGAATGAGAAGTTATACTCTGTTTATGTATAACGAATCAAAATGCATTCTACTGTCATGTAAATAATCAGAACAAATTAAAAAAATAATAATCCTGTTAGGTTGGTGTAACCAGCATCCCTCTTATTCTTGTTACTCCCTCTTTTCCATCCATTGATTCCCTACCCTGCTCCTTGGGTATAAATTCTCACTTACCCATGATATATTAGAAAGTGAGCTCAATTTCTATACTCAGCTGCAAAATTCAAGTGTGGTAGTCCCTTTGCCTATTGTGATTATTCTAAATAAAGTCCTCCTCATCAATTTTTAGCTAATATCATTGAATAACTTTTTCTTTAGTAAGAAAAAAAAATTATTTTACCTGTAGTAGGTTGTGTTCTTTTTCTTGCTGTGTAACAAATTACCAGAAACTTGGCAGCTTAAAACACATATTTATTATCTCTTATTTTCCATGACTCAGGAGTCTGAGCATAACTTAACTGGGTTCTCTATCAGGGTCTAACAAGGTTACCACCAAGTCACCAGCCAAGCTGCATATTCATCTGGAGGCTCACCTGGGAGATAATCTACTCCTAAATTCATTCAGGTCTCTGGCAGAATTCATCCCTGTCTTAGTATGACTTAGGCCCCAATTTCTTGCTAGCTGTCAGCCTGAGAGCACCCTCCAGGACCCAGAGGCCAGTCACAGATCCCTGCCACATCCTGATCCTCTTCATAGCAGTTCCCAGCAGGGATTATGCTTCTCTAAGACCAGCAGGAGATATCCAGTCTGTTAAGACTATTTTACATAACAAAAGATACTCACAGAAGTGACAGTTCAGCACCTTTGCTATGTTCTACGGGGGAGAAGAAAGTCATAGATTTTCCCCACACTCAAGAGGAGTGGATCATATAAGAGATTTCATTAAGGTTCGCTTTGGAGTGTGTCTGGTACTTGGGGACTTAGCTTCTACTATTTTCTTCCATGGTATGTTTCCTGACTTTTCCCTCTAAAGGGTATAGAGTTTGAATATCTTACTGTAATTTTATTCATTGTTTTGGGATTTACTACTAGAAAGTCATTAACATAATACCTGAAATAAAATTATTTCAAAAGAAAAAAAATTACTCCAATTAGTACACTTTCTCCAGCGTTTTAAGACACAGAGCTGAGGCTTTTTAAAAAAATTGTAATCACATGACTTTGGCATTTTTCAAAAGAGCAAACATGATTTTCAGAGTAGAAGAGAACCTACCAGGCCTCCCACTAATCTTACTTAAGATGGGCTGGTAGCAGTGAGCTCAAGAATTCACTGTTACTATTAATGTGTCTTGCAGTTCCACCTCATTAGCACGTCTGCATTTTCTGCATAAATCCACTCTGAGATGTTCTCAAGGGGGCTAAGCTCTGGACAGTGCAACCCTTTATAAAGAAATCCTTGACAAGATTCTCTGGGTACACGGTAGGAAAAAAAAATGAATTTGTTTTTCATAATATAATTTTCCAATATAAGAAAAATTGTGCATTTGAATATTTAGCAGGCTGACAATGGAATGCTTGACAATTTCTCTTTGGATATGCCAAGACTGGAATCCTTGAGAATCTTTTAAATAAGAACTGAAAGCCATAAACACAGGGTAGTGTTGATCCTCATAAATTTTGGCTTTGTCAAATACAGTTCAGATTTGGACATCACAAGAGGTCTTATACTGCCGTTTTAAACATAGATTCTAAAATTAATGCTTAAGAATGTGTTCATTAGATTGTAACAAAACCAATGACTCTATATATTCTCTTGTCACCTTTTCTTATCACTCACAAATTACCAATGCTACATGGCCTGGTTAAAAGAAATACTCAGAATAATCTGGGAAATCCACAAAAAAGAAAGATTGAGGCAATTGTCACAACGATTCAATATCAAAGCAGAACCCCCTGGGGGAAAAAATTCTCTAAAAACTAGGGAGCTAAAATATTTTCTTGCTCTAATAATGCCAATATATTAAACAATTTGGAGGAGAAACAACTAGTATGTGTATGCATGGGTATAGTATAATTATCTCTAATGTCTCCATTACTGCACATATACAATTAAATGTAATAAAAAATTGAGCCAATATTTTGAAAGCTGAACATCTATCCTTCTTCCTTCCTTCACTCACTCACTCAATATTTAACAAACCTGCAAGTTCTTTACTGGATAGTTTAATAACTATAATGGAAAGTGATACAGGCATCCTAGACACATATGTTTATATAATTTATGATATACACCCTTAATTTTGTGTGTGTGTGTGTGGTGCTGGGGATTGAACCCAGGCATGTGAGGCAAGCCTCTACCAACTGACCTATACCTCCAGCCCAATTCTCAATATACTAAATTAAATTAAAGGTGACCCAGGGCTGGGGGCTGGCTCTATGGTAGAGTGCTTGCCCAGTGTGTGTGGGGCCCTAGGTTCCATTCCAACACTACAAAAAATAAATAAATAAATAAAACAAATAAGTGAAACAATAATTAACTCCTATTGAAATGTGTATGTAGATCAATATTTTCATATGCACTATTGATGTTCAAAAGAAAGAGTAGAAAGGGTAAAATGCAAAAATGCATGTCTTATTTTTTTTAATTTTTTCCATCACTTATTTTTTCCAGGTATATACATTATTAGACATCAATTGTGTGACAATCCTAAATTCAGAATAAATATTACTACCAAAAATCATGCCCAAAGGCTGAATTTGGCAAACAAAATCTACTAAAGTGTTTACTGCCTATTTTCATCCTCTATGTTGATCTAGTTTTGAAATTAATGAAATTTTTGTTTTCCAATAGTGCATATGAGTCAATGCAGTCTTTAAAAGCAGATAGAGAAAAAAGAGAATTCAACATTCAACTCTCAGGAAATTCTAAAACAGCCTGCTTCCTTAATCTGTTGAAGCTGTGTGGGATGGAAAAGTAGTGGGTAGAGGGGTGGGGTGGGGGTGTTTGGAGAAGGCCTGGGAAGAGGCACCAGCTTGAAGACATGTTGCTTAACCTCTCTCCAACCCAACTTCCTTTAATCTGTAAAATGGGTATAAACACTACTGTGGAGGTAAATACTAAGTGGGATATTGTAGCTATTCCTTGACTATTGCACATAATGCTACACTGAACATGGGAGTGGAATTTTGATTTCATCTCCTTTGGACATTTACCGAGAAGTGGGACTGCTGGATGATATGGTAGTTCCATTTTTTTATTTTTTGAGGAATATCCATACTGCTTTCCATAGTGGCTGTACCAATTTACATTCCCACCAACAGTATACTAGGATTCCCTTTCCTCTACACCCTTGTTAACACTAGTTTTCTCTTGTCTTTTTAATCATGGTCATCCTAACAGGTGTGAGGTGAGATCGCACTGTGGTTTTGATTTACATTTCCCTGGTGAATAGTGATGTTAGCATCTCTTCATATACCTGTTGGCCTTTTGTACATCTTCTTTGGAAAAATGTCTATTTAAGTCCTTTGCCTAATTCTCAATCAGGTTGTTTTTATGTTATGGAGCTACGTGGGTTCCTTGAATATTTTGGATATTAACCCATTATCAGATAGATGGCCAACAAATATTTTCTCCCAATCTGTAGACTGTCTTTCATGTTACTTATTGCTTCTTCACTGAAAAGAGGTTTTTAAGTTTGATTGTAGTCCCACTATTTTTTGCCTTTGTTGCATATGGTTTTGGTGTAATATTAAAAAAAAAATCATTGCCAATGCCAAGAAGCTTTCCCTTTCACTCCTGTTAGCAGTTTTACAGTTTCAGGTCTTAAATTTAGACCAAGATATGGAAACAACATAAATATCTATCAATGGAGGACTAGGTAAAGAAATGTTCACATCTACAATATTTATATGTAAAAATGATATTTTATATATATATAAATGTTCCATGATATATGAATATTTATCATATTATATGGTAATATATAGTATATATTATATAAGGTATAATCATATACATATTATTATATTCTACCTATACATTATAATGTTATGTAATGTCTATCATATATAATAATGTTTTATATTCTAAAGTGACGTATTCAGATGTTATAAAGGAGATCCTGCCATTTGTGACTATGCAGATGAACCTGGAAGACTGGTTAAGTGAAATAAGCCAGACACAGAAAGAAAAACAGTGTATGATCTCTCTTATATGTGGAATCTTCAAGAGTCAAATACATAAAAACAGATCAGAAGGGCAGTTACCAAAGGTGGCAGCAGAGAGGAGAGGGAAAAGCAGGGAGATACTGGTCAGAGCTCAAAGTTGCAGTTATATAGGACAAATAAATCTAGAGGTCTAAAGTACAGCACAAGGGCTCTAGCTAATAATATTGTATGGTGCTCACTTTGGCATGTGCATATGCCAAAATTGGAATGATACAGAGAAGATTGGCATGGCCCATGTGCAAGGATGTCAGGCAAATCTGTGAAGAGTTCCATATTTTTAGCTAAACAATGGAGCCAATCTAGATGCTCTTCAGTAGATGAATGGATAAAGAAAATATCGTATAAACACAATGGAACATTACTCAGCATTAAAAGAGAATAAAATCATGGCATTTGTAGGTAAATGGATGGAGTATACTATATACTGCTAAGTGAAGCAAACCAATCCTCCCCCAAAAAACAAATGTTGAATGTTTTCTCTGATACAAGGATGCTGATTCATAATGGGGATGGGGTGATGCATGGGAAGAATAGATGAACTCTAGATAGGGCAAAGGAGAGGGAGGAGAATGGAGGGGGCAGGGGGTAGGAAAAGTAGTGAAATGAGATGAACATCATTACTCTAAGTACATGTATGAAGACACAAATTGTGTGACTCTACATTGTGTACAACCAGAGATATGAAAAACTGTGCTATATATTTGTAATATAAATTGAAATGCATTCTGCTGTCGTATATAACAAATTAGAATAAATTTTTAGAAAATATTGTATGGTATATTGGAAATGTTCTAAGAGAATAGATTTTTGGTGCTATAACCACTGAAACAAAGCTAACTGTAAGATGATGGATATATTAATCAGCTTGACTGCAGTAACAATTTCACTATGTAATGCACATCAAAACATCACTTTAAATATATACACTTTAAATGTATACAATCAAAAATTTTAACTTAAAATTTAATTAATTAAAATAAATAGGATAATGTATTTGAAGCACCTTACATATAGAGAGCACTCAAAAATGGTCTCTTGTTCTTCATTTGTAAATTGGAGGTAAAAAAAAAATACCCACCTCACAGATGGCTGTGGGAATTGTGGTGGTTAATGTGTGGGGAAATGCACAAGCACAGCTTCTGGTGCTCAGTAAATACCAATAAATACTGGGGCACTTATCACAGATGAATGAGTATGCACACATGCTTGTAAACTGAGTTATTTATTTTATTTTCCAAGTCATCATACAGACTGGAAAAGGAGTAAATTATTACTTTGGGAAAGGCACAAAACAAAAGGTCTGGTTTTGCCACATGTCCCACAGCCTATGTGGTGACATCCTAAGATAGTGTTTAATTAACATAGTAAAGTGCCCTAGGAAGCTCAGAGATGGGGACCATCCTTTGATCAAGTCAACTTCCGCTTGGTGGGCCTTTCCCAGCTTATCTCATGGCGTCCCCATTCTCTGGTTTACTCTCTCAGCCTTGCTCCCCCTGGCTCCCAACCTCTTCAGGTAACTCTCTTTCCTTAAACCTTTCAATAGAACCCAAATATAAATGAAGTACGAACATTTGTTTAATTTGAATGATAAGGTTTGAGATTTACTGCAACTTGAGGCTGAGGCTGGCTTAAAATCTTCTCAAACTATTAACAGGTCAGATGTTCCTTCTAAAATCCCCCTCTTCGGTATCATCAAATAGTCTCTCAAATGCAAGATAAATTAGATAGTAGATTGTTGCTGCCTTCATGAGAGTCTATCAGTAATGCCATTGCTTGGAATACACACCTGATCCGAATGAACTGACTGTGAAAGACCTGACTACCTAATATTTTCAGTGCTGATACTCAATAAAATCAATCCTGACTCACAGAACTCTGCACTTTCTCTTTGCTTTTGTCCATTGGTCTATATTGTAAAGTTTAGCCACATAGGAATATTTTATATACACATAAGACAATTTTCTGATTCCATGTTTGTTTCCAAAACTGTCCAAACTAAAAATAATTCCCTCTCTTAATTTGTATTATGGGATATGTAAATTTGGCTGCCTGTTTCATAGGCCAAAAATGGCAGTGGTTTCCGTAAGATGGAAGTTCATGTCTTTCTAGTCATGGTGTAGAAAGCTTGTTATGAGCCAAGATATAGGGGCAATGACCAGACAAACTCTATTTTACCCTAAGACTCCATGTCATGTAAGAAATGCTTGTCCTGTGGGAATACCCTACCTCTGTACCCATCAAAAGTTGCTTAGCATAGCATGTTTGGCAACACAAAATGGCAAACATCTTACAAAGTAAAATTGTTCTCTTTTTGGTTCACATTTTTCTTGGGCAATGTACTCTGCCAGAGAATGTTTGTCTAGTGTTAGTAACCATTCTTTTACTTGTACTCAACTAGGATCATTTTGACCCACTTTCCCTTCTGCTTACAATTTTAGATCTCATGTTTGTTTATAGTTTTGAATCATAGCAACAGCCACTTATGATTAATGTGGTTTCAGAATATAAACGTGTGTTCTAACCCTTGGAGGGGGTCAAAGACTTGCAGCCTGCCCCTTGGCCTGCCAGCTGGTGAATCCGGACCACCAGCTGGTGAATAAAATGGTTCTGTCTCCTGCTGAAAATCAACTTGGTTATTTATTGCAATTTCACCATAACAAGCTGATAAAGCAGACCTGCTTTGCCAAGTCACCAAAAGACCAAGGCTTCTTTCTCATTTCTCCATCAGCCCTTAGCCACATGGTTCCAGATGGCTCATCTTAACCTATCCTTTGAGCAGCAGGATGAAGAAAGGAAGTAGGGATAAGGAGGTCACTCCTCCTTTAGGAATGGGTTTCAGAAGCCAGCCCTCCCCAGCTTACCCCGACATACCCACTCCTTACATCTCATGGGCTAGTGTTTAGTCACATGACCACATCTGACTGAAAGGGAGTTTTAGAAGTTTCAGCATTCTTTTTTCTAAGATCCAGTTTCACAGCTAAAACCCAGTCATTCTATTATAGCAAAGAAAGTGATCTTTGAAGCACAATTTTTAGTCCCTGATTCACAGATTTTTAGAAATCTAATGAAAAAAAAAACAACTCTGCAACGAATTTTCTCTCAGTAAAGATTCTGAAGTTGAAAGAGAAAGATGTTCCATCTAGAAGAAAAAGAAAGAATTATCATCATGGCTAGAAGCAGGCTAAGCAAATGAAAAAGTAAAGTTAATCCTAAATATAAGAAATTTGCAAATATCTCCTCAATCCCATTGCTCACCACACTGAGTTTTCTACAAGTTTGTCTATCTTTCATGTCAACAGAATATAAATTCTAATTCTATTTTCACAACTGAGGTATTTAGGGATTTTTTCATGCAGATTTCCCTCATTGAGCCTACAAAGAAAAAACTTTAATTCAATATTAATAGCATTCATTTTTATATAGTTCACTTACCTACAGTGACAGGGTACCTAACTCATTAAATCTAACTGCCCCTTCAAGTACATAGAAGAGAAAGCAAGACCCCAGTAATTCTAGCCTGGAGATGATTTGTGGAATGAAGTGCATTGTGTTAGGGAAAGGGCCTAGGCTCTGGCCTTAAACCCTGTTCTTCCCAGCCATGTGACTTTAGCAAGCTGTGTGCTATTTTGTTTGAATAAGCCCTTCAAAAAGTTCATGTGTTGGGAACCTAATCCCCAAACTCATATGTTGATAGTATTGGGAAATGGGACCTTTAGGAGGTAAAAATTAGGGTTAGATGAGGTCTTGAAGGTGAGGCTCTGTGAAGGGATTGGTGCCTTCATAAAAAGAGCAAGAGACACTTGCACTCACACACTTCCACATCCTTGCCATAAGATATCCTCTGCCACGTTACAATGCAGTAAGAAAACTTTCACCAGATGCCAGCCCTGTGTTCCTGGACTTCCTAGTCTCCAGACTGTAAGAAATAAATCTGTGATATAAAGTTTCAGGTGTTCTGTTATAACAGCAGAAAACAGACTAAAACATCGAGTAATCACTCCATAATTAGTACAATTTTATTGGCAGGGACAGAGAGGCAAGAGGGAATTTGGGTGCTCAAGAACCTGATTTTTTTTTTTTTAGTGAATCAATATAATATGAAATCTAACCAGAATATTGATTTAGATACTTCAGGAAACCTGCACTGAAAAGGATATGTGTATTTTCTTAAAATCAAATTCAATAAGAACTGTTGACCTGATCCTGCTATCATGGGCGTAACACTAGCCCAGGCATCAAACGGCAATCTTTTTGATTAGCAGGTATCTCACAAATCACAGGTTCATTTAACTGTTACAAGGAGCTATTCCTCTTCCTGTTTTGCATGATGGTTGCGAGAGAGTTAAAGGTCCTTTTCAAGAATGGACTTCTTTAACTGTCCACTTCTGTGTAAAGCCTGAAAATTATTGAAGCCATCGATTCTATTTCTGAAGTTTCTGTAGTCCAAAAATATGCATGAAAGCATAAAGTGATAGAATAGTGATTATACAGTACAGTAATCACTAAACAAATGTTTATAAAGAGACAACCATGGGCCAAGTTAATTAATGGATTAAAATACAGTAATGTATAAAGCACTGGCCCCATTCTGAAAGATGACTGCCCAGTGGGAGAGACCATCACATACACAGAGAGCTACAAATGGGATCAGTTGTGACATGACAGCAAAAGGCAAGGAAAACAGGCAACATGCTGGCCTGGAGTGAGGGTTGGGTGGGTGCAGCAGGAAATTCAGAGAAACAATATGACAGGGTGGTGAAGAAAGAGTTTGGGCTCCAGGCTTTGGAGACCCAAGTTGCTGCATAAGAATTGGGTGATGCTATTAATAATATACAATAATGGTTAATAATAATATGCCAGATTTTGTCTAGCTGGGCAAGGTGGCACACGTCTGTAATCCCAGCAGCTCAGGAGGATGAGGCAGGAGGATCATGAGATCAAAGACAGCCTCAGCAACTAAGCAAGACTCTAAACAACTCAGTGAGACCCTGTCTCTAAATAAAATACAGAAAAGTGCTGGGGACGTGGCTTAGTGGCTAAGCACCCATTGAATTCAATGCCCAGTACAAAAAAATAAAAATAAAAAGTTGCCTTTATTTTAGTGCTTTTAAAGTTCTATCATCTTCTTAAAACATGCTTGTGATACAGTTGGGAAACAAGCCTGTCTCAGTTTTTCTTTTACTTTTATATATATCCAATTAGAATGCCTCTGTCCTTAAACATTCTGACAAGGTACAAATGGCTCTGTTGAAATGAGAATAACTGAAGTGGATAAAGGG